TATTTCGAGTAAATTCATTTTTTCTGGTTTGAAAAGGAATTTTGAAGCTACGTCACGACCATGAGATCCTTGTGTAAACTTCAGCGTGAAGACTGGCTGACTGTACCGGTGGGTAAAATGTGATGTCTTTGAGTTTTCAACATTAATTCATGAAAAAGACTTGGTTCAAACCAAAAAGCATGCTCTATTGTGAATGCGGCGTAACTTCATTATTATGCATGATATAGCTTCGAAGACCTGTTTTTACCTGTTACAGTGTTCAGACAGCAAAGAGATGCCATGCACGTTGTGTTGCCAACTGTAATTAAAACAAGTGGAAGAAGAAGAAATGTTTGGAGACATGGGACATCAGTGTTGCGTTTATAAATGTGCTGCAACAACGGTTTAGTTTTTATTTCTCTGCTATGAGAACGCAGCTGGATGGGGGGGTTCATGCATGAATGAAATTCAGAAATGTTCCTGTATGAGAGTGAAAGTGCCAAACTGCAGTTAAAGTTGACAAAATAATAATATGGCAAATCATTTGATCACTGATGTCCATGTAAATGTAGTCACTGTATTTCTCCTCTGCGTCTGTGTTTGTTTTGCCTCTGTGAAAAGCAGGACATGCTCGAATTGAAACTCCACTTTTTATGCAAACCCTTCCCTCTTTCGCCACTCAACACTCTCCCACCTAAGCAAAGCCTAACTCACGTTTCTGACTTTATTTTTTTTTTACAAACTAAAGGTGTGAAAACACCCTGCTGAAGCATGGGGGGGTTTATGGCCCTTTAAATGAACTATATAACCTTTATGTGAAATAATTTAGCCAATATTATTTCATTTAAATAATGAAAAGTTCCATGCACAAAAAGAGTGAATTTGGTCAAGATTGTTATGCCATTGCATTTTGTTTGTTTTAGGATTACTATTATATTTAGTCTATTAATTAATAAGCGTGTGGCACGGTGACGCAATGGGTAGCACTGTCACGTCACAGCAAGAAAGTCACTGTTTCAGGTCTCGGCTGGGTCAGTTGGCATAGAGTTTGCATGTTTTCCCCATGTTCATGTGGGTTTTCTCCAGGTGCTCTGGGTTCCCTCACAGTCCAGAGACATGGCCGTAGTGCAAGTGTGTGTATAGATGTTTCCCAGTGCTGGGTTGTGGCTGGAAGGGCATTCAATGTGAAAACATATGCTGGATAAGTTAGTGGTTCATTACGCTGTGGTCACTCTTGATTATTAAAGGGATTAAGCCAAAAAGAAAATGAATGAATGAATTACTAAGCAGCGAGTGAGTTTTATTAAGAAAATTTCAAACAACTGGCTGTTCTTTAACTTACTATACAGCTAAAAAAGAAATGTACAATGTTGCGTAATTAGCCATCATGATAAAATCGGATTATACTATAAAAAAACCAGGGTTCATTGTATTTTACTACATTTTATGGTGAATGATTGCAGTGTATATGGGCTGAATTTAAACAAACAAATTAAGTTGAACGTTGCTAAATTAAATTTGTGTTTAAATTCAGCCCATTTAAATAGTTTATAATAAATCATAATAGATAAATCACTGTTTTTCAGTGTATGTGATGCCATCATACCTGGAAAATCTTAATGATCCATTTTTAGCTCACTTTTAACCATTTGTTGGGTTTTGTCGGGGTGTTTCCCAGAACCTAACAATGCGGTCAGTGGCTGCCTCGGTGCGTCTGACTGTAACAGAGGCGACAGGAATAGAGAGTGTTTGTTCCTTTGTCCCAGTAGTAAATGAGAGCGCCACAAATTCCTTCCAGAAGTTTCTTGTGAAAGCCTTCCTGTGAGGTAAACCAGCATTCCTGATGATGCCAAAAATGAATGGAGATAAATATCTGGCCTCGTATAAAGATTCAGACTTCCACTACTATTCACCTTAACTATATGGTCGATCCTTCAATATGTGATCGCTCAGAGGGCAGACCAACCAACAATATTGTTTTGTTTATTTTTGCCAGAAAGGTTTTACACATCACATCATGGAAAACAACAACAGCAAAAGAAAGAGCGAGTGCAGCTATTCAGAAAATTGCTAGCCCCTAGCACAGTGGAAACATTTAGCTTTGCCATTAGATTCTCCCATGATGAGACTCCTGTTTGATCTCAAGGCTCGATGACAGTTTTATCGGTTTCTCTCACACTATACTGCTCTGATGTTATTTTCTGCTTAACTTGTAAGTGTATGTCTGCCACTCTTGCTCTATATATTTAACCTCACTGAAAATGGCAAGTACAGTAAAGTTGAAAGTGTTTTTGTCTTGTTGAAAGTCTGAATCACAGTATAAAATCATAAAAATAATCACCAAAAATTGTGTACTGCAGCCATATTTTGAGAAAGACTAAACAATTTCCATCATTGACATGGTTTATTATTATTATTATTATTATTATTATTATTATTATTATTATTATTATTATTATTATTATTATTATTATCATCATTTCATTTTCCTTCAGCTTAGTCCCTTTATTAATCGGGGGTCGCCACAGCGGAATGAACCAACAACTTCTCCAGCATACGTTTTACACAGCGAATGCCCTTCCAGCTGCAATCCAGTACTGCAAAACATCCATGCACATACACTACGGACAATTTTAGCTTACCCAATTCACCTGTACTGCATGTCTTTGGACTTTGAAACCGGAGTACCTGGAGGAAATCCATGTGAATCATGGGGAAAACATGCAAACTCCCCACAGAGTGAGGGGACAGTGCTTACCACTGAGCCACTGTGTTGCCATTGTAATACTCTTTAATTAAAAATAACAAAAATTGCAATTTCATTTACAGAAATTCAGTAAAACTCGGAAACCTAAATCTTATTGTGACACAAGAACAAACTAGATTCAAGAATCATTTTTAACAAAGGCAACTAACATGTTTAATGTCAAACATAAAACGCCCATAAGTCACTATTGTCCTCAATAAATAGTTAAACACAGTCATTATAAAGAAACAAAACAGAAAACAACAAAGTATATGTGCAGCTTTGGAAAGAAAATAAAATTAAGAGACCACTTTAAAAAACATGATTGGTTCTCTGGATTTGCCAGTAATATACGTTTTAAGTCAAATGTTTGTTGAAAACTGCTGATGATGTGTCCAGAATTTTAGGTTAAAATATTATAATTTGAAGGCGAATATATAATATTCCACCTTTTCAGACCTTAAAGGTGCCATAGAATGAATATCTAGATATACCAAGGCAGAGCTGAATAGTAAATGTTAAATGGAATGACATACTGTACTGTGACATCATCGTTTCCTCATTTTCATTTAAATCCCTGGACTCTGACAATCACACAGGATCATTAGTATGCATCTCCAAGGCTGCATTTGATATTTTTTTTCTAATAAGATTACAAAAATTATCATTTTTACCCCCAATTTGTATTTTTATATTAACTTGAATTATACATACTATGTATGCAGGACTCTTATTTTGAAAATGAGACCAGCATTATAGAGCTTTAGAGCTCATCTCATAGCTTGCATGCAAAACGAAGAATGGATTAGAAATATATTTAGCAGACTCTGAAGAGGCACAATGTCAATTGGTCCTTATCTTTTGTTATTTTAACATGTATATTATGAAATTTGCTGCACATGTCTGTAATATTTATTATTTATTTATTTTTAATATTTCCCTAATTAAGTTCAACAGAGCAAGGAAATTTTCACAGTATGTCTGATAATGTTTTTTTCTTGTGGAGAAAGTCTTATTTTGTCTAGAATAAAAGGTCAAAATTATCAGACCCTTTAAGCTATTTCTTTTTTCGATAGTCTACAGAGCAAACCATCGTTATACAATACCTTGCCTAATTACCCTAACCTGCCTAGTTCACCTAATTAACCTAGTTAAGCCTTTAAATATCACTTTAAACGGTATAGAAGGGTCTTGAAAAATAACTAGTCAAATATTATTTACTGTCATCGTGACAAAGATAAACTAAATCAGTTATTAGTAATGAGTTATTAAAACTATTATGTTTAGAAATGTGTTGAAAAAAATCTCTTCGTTAAACAGAAATTAGGGAAAGAAATAAACAAGGGGCCAAACATTCTGAAGGGCTAATAATTCTGACTTTGACTGTAAGTGTTTGATGCACGTTTTTGCTTCATGTCGTATTACTCATTGCATGTAGTTATTTATTTGTATTTTTTTTTCTTTTTTTGCATTTTGTGTTTATTTACGCTTTGTCAATGTCAATAAAAGTCACTTTGTTAAGATGTAGTGTAGAATTTTCATCACCAAAAGTCAACAGAGCAGAAATCTAGATCCCGTAATGTAATTCAACAAAATGTAAATAAACAAAAAATGACAAAATCCAGAAGCTGTTAATTGACAGACTTTTTTTACAGTGTGAGATTGTGTGTGCATGAGTGAAAGAGCATGCACTTCAAGTACAAGTGCTGCAGAGCTTATTAATATTCATATTTCCAAATTTGGTCGAAATCAAGCTTTTCATTCTAGGGGAACTTCCTGTGGTTATAATTGAGCATAAAAAAAACACTTCTGGAGAATTTTTGAACTTACCTAAGCCACTTACCATCTGTGTAGATATCACAGGACAATAGTACATATTGAATCAATGCACTATATGGCACCTTTTAATTTTGAGAAAAAAGAACGCACTGGATTTGCATAAGGTTTGTAAATATACTTTTTTGCTCAAAATTTTGAATGGTTGAGGAATTCCAGTTTATAGCAAATGCAGATAACCAATAATAATATTGAAGTATTTCTACCAAGAATATTATACGTCAATTAGAAGCACTATGATTTTATAGATATTCTGTCAGATCACTCCTATTTGCTTCATCTACTGTCACTATCAAGCTGCTAGCTTTTCATGACATGGAAATGATTTGTGCACTTTGTAATCCATTCACAGCACTCATATTCAGACATATGGCCAGGCTTGCCGCCCGAATAGAATAATGTACAGTAAGTTACTATGTAGCTTTTTTTTTTATCCCTCTCAGGTTGTTTGTGTTGGATTGCGTCTCCTCAACATCTGGAGGAAGCTAGACTTGAATCGCTCTTTGTAGTTTCTTGGCTGGTACTGTCTGAATGTGTCATTTTCATCTCTGCAAAAGTCACAAAGTAGAGCATCATTAGAATGTAATGAACTGACATGTTGTGTTTCAAATAGAGTGAGTTTAAAAAGAACACTCACTTTTTCTGAAGAGTCGAGTTGAAGCAAAACCGCAAACACTTTGAATCTTTCCCGTCGACGCAACGACATCGTTCAACATCCCGTCTCAGGCGTGAGCCCATGCCATAGGGAATGACCTGACTGAAAGAGAACAGCTCATATTTTAAAGTGCGTTTGATTTTATTTAATGATCAAATGTTATAAATATATTATTTTATAAAACAGTTGAAGACAATGTTATTAGCATCCTATTATTGCATTTTTATTCTTTATATATATATATATATATATATATATATATATATATATATATATATATATATATATATATATATTTCCCAAGCTCTTTGACAGAGCAATGCTTTTTTTATCTACCATTATCAGTGATGGAAAAAAGTACTGAAAAATCATACTTAAGTACCACTACTTGCCTAAAACTGTAGTGCAAGTACAGTAAAAGTATCTGTTGTAAATATTACTTAAAGTATGAGTAAAAAGTAAACCTTTCAAAAGTACTCAAGTGTAGTGAGTATTACGCTGTAAAAAGCTGATGCATTTGCATGTAATTTGTGAATGTGTGTGTAGCCTTAACATTCTATAGTACATTTAGTTATTGCTCACCAGGCACACAACTTCCTAAGACGTTAATATTAGGTTAGATTTAGGTTGTGACGTCTGGTGACTGAAATTTAGGGCCCTATATCATACACCTGGCGGAATGTGGAGCAAGGCGCAGCGCAATAGTCTTTTGCTACTTTAATCTTGGCGCAAGGGTCATTTTGAGGTGTTGCGCCACACTGTTTAAATAGCAAATGCATTTGCGCTCAAATGTGCGCCCATAGGCGTTCTGGTCTAAAAAAGCAGGCGTGTTTTGGTGCATTGCTATTTTGAGAAACTGTATATAGTCTGATCTTTAGACCAGAACAAAGTCGGTCTGTTGATCTGTTGTCTGGCGCAAAGTGCACCTGGCGTACACACTACACACAAGATGCAATATGCAAATATCTTTACATTTGAAAAAGATATAATATATTAAAGATATATATATATATATATATATATATATATATATATATATATATATAAAATAAGGATATATATAGGATATAAATATAAATGATTAAAATATTACAAAACATAATAAAAAATATTACAAAAGCAGGTGTATTTGGAAATAACTCAGTGTTTTGACCACACTTTGTTATTATTAATCATTTAATCGTCGCTGGAAATTAGAACTGAATTTAGAAATAGTTTTGAAACAAATCTTTGCGCTTAACAAACAAAATTAATTATTTATAGGCTAATTGATGTCTGTGCGGTAAGGTTTCCCTATTCACGAGAGCAAAAGTGAAAGTGAACTTACTTTGTCATGTTAATAGCAATGCACTTATGGCACGGCGCAGCTGGCTCTTAAAGGTAATAGGAGATGAGACTCTGATTGGTTTATTCTCAAAACACACCTATAACTCATTATGAAAATAAACTCAACCCTTTTAGACCATGCGGCATGGCGCAAAGTGGATTTTCCCTTCCTTAAGTTAATGTCTAGCCAGCATCTAATGGCAATGTTGTTTTGATGTCCAGTAATAACATCTAATAACGTTGACATTTGGTTGATTTTAGGTTGTGTTAGAAAGTGACTAAAATCCAATGTCGAGCCAACATCTGAAACCAACGTCATATTGACGTCAAAATACTGACATTTATTTGTCAGGTATAGCAACCAAAATCCAACATCTGATAGACGTCAAAGTGGTAACGTCCACACAGTGTCAAACTGTAACATCATTAGATGTTGATATTTGGTTGATTTTAGGTTGGAAGTTTACTAATCCCCATGCACAAGAAAAACTTAAATTAACTGTAGGTTGAAGGAAAGTAGTGGAGTTAAAGTACTGCTACTGCACTAAAAATGTACTTAAAGGAAAGTAAAAGAACACATTTTTAAAACTACTTAGTAAATTACAATTTATAAGCAAAAAAATACTCAATTTGAGTAGTTTGAGTGTTTGTAATTAGCTACTTTACACCACAGACCATTGTATATTTTATTGTTTGGCTGAAATAAAAAATAAATAAAAGAAATTTTGAAAATACAAAGGTCAACATTATTAGCTCCTTAAGTTTTTTTTTTTCCCGATTGGCCACTGAACAAACCTGTTGTCCAGTAATTTGTTTAACTTAACCTGTTTAACCTAATTAGTTAAGCCTATTGCAACTTTAGCTTTAGCAACTAGTAAAAATATGATGTACTGTCATTATGGCAATGACAAAAGAATTTAGTACATTTTATGAGTCATTAAAATCATTAGAATATTACAGTTTTTTTCAGTCGCTTTGGTGTGTTTCTCACAACACCAGTGCATTTTTGCACAACAGTTCATGCATTTCTCAAAACAATTAGTACAAACTGCAAAACCTAGCTAATAACCTGCAAAAGCGCGTCACATGCTCAAAATGGATAGTTCATTCCTCAAAAGCAAGTATTGATGTCAATGAAAGTGTCAGTATCATCAAAATGAAAAGTCCTGACACCATTGTTTATGAACAAGTTAGTCAAATGGCTTTGTCATGTTTTCATCGTGACAGTTTACTCTGGACATTTTTTTCAATGCAAAAAAGTCTGATTTTGGTGACACGTCCTGAAAATGCTTAAGACAGCACTCTATACTGTTTGCAGTCATTTGAAAACTACAGTAAAGTTAGACATCACTGCTTAGTGAGGTATCTGAGTACAACACACTGAGTATGTATGTTTCACATTTTTACTGCAGATGCTCTTTGCAATCCTAATTTATTCCCAGCATTGTGCAAAAGAATAAACACACCCTTATTTACAACAAACATAAACTCCCTTTAGGTAGAGCTGTGCATAACTAAACACAATATTGCAGTACATATTGGAACTGAGCCTACAACATACACAGGTCATACATAGATTGAACATACATAGTTCAACATTTTTGTATGTAATGACTCAAGTAATGAAATGAGGACTATTAGTTTTATATGGAATGACTATTCAGCATTCACCATTTTAGTTAAATTTTGACTGACATGGCATAAGCAAATGATAATGTTATAAACAGCAGAGAGTTGTATGAAAGCATTTGATGCATGTCCAAAAGCATTTGCAATTTGTTGGCAAGAATGAGAAACTGCTTCTAGGATGTGCACAAATTACTAATTGTTTTGAGAAATGCATTACCTGTTGTGCAAATGTAAATAGTGTTGTGAGAAATGCACCAAAGCGACTGAGAAAAACTGCAAGACTGCATTCTATTGAGATATTTTGTAAATTACCTCCAGTTTTTTTTTTTTTTTTTTTCTAGTAATAAACATTGCTAAAAACCTAATTTGGACAACTTTAAAGGTATTTTTCTTTTTCAATCCTCAGATTCCAGATTTTCTAATAGTTGTTACTCGGCTAAATATATTTTAAAAATCTATAAATCAATGATAAGGTTAATTGACACAATTTCCTGTTGTTGCTGATGTGTGGTTTGTGTTTGGAGCTCAGTTAAGCTGATTTGAATTGGAATTGAGAACCACTGTGTTAGCATCACTAGGCTCTCTGCATCTATCACTACTGCTATTTTTGTGCTCTTTAAAGGAATAGTTCACCCAAATGTGATTGTGAAATAACCCAGAAACCCAGGATTGAGGGTCACTGGTGAGTGAATTAAGTTTGAAGTTTATTTATTAATTAATTAATTAATTTTTTTTTTTATCTGAAACAAACATTCACTGCACATTCAGAGGCACACAACCTTCGAATCAGAAGGTCTTTTTGACCTGAAACTTTGAATCTTTTTGGCTACAAATAGGTCTGATTTTCAAAACCATAACACTTGACACATTTAATAAAATTGACTTAATTGTGAGAACACCCTTCACTTAAAGATAGATAACATAGGTTATTTGTGTTATAACAATGTTATAACAATAATTATTGTTAAAGGGAGAGTTCACCCCACAAAAATAGCATCAACTTGTTGCAAACCAATTTGAGTTTTTTTTTTGTTTTGTTTTGTTTTTTCTGTTGAACACAAAAGAGGGCATTTTGAAGGATGTTGAAACCTGTATTCATTGAACTCCACAATATTTGTTTTTCCTTTGGAAGTCAGTGATTACAGGTTTCCAACATTCATGAAAATATCTTCTTTTTTTGTAACTCAAACTGGTTTGGAGCAAGTCAAGAGTGAGTATTTTTTGGGTGAACTATCCCTTTTACACTGATTATTGTTATAACATTGTTTTAAAGCAAATAACATACAGGGTTTTCCCACAATAAAGTCAATTTTATTAAATGCGTCAAGTGTTATGGCATTGAAAATATAACCTTTTATTTTTTTGCCGATTCTGATTCGAAGGTTTTGTGCCTCTGAATGTACAGTGAATGTTTGTTTCAGACAAAAAAAAAAAGCCTTCACACTCAATTCACTTCCCAAGAGCCAGACCCTCAATCTTGGGTTTCTGGGTTGTTTTTCACCAAAGGCAGTCTGCCTGTCCTCAGGTCTCCATGCGTGGGCCACATTAATGAGACCACACACTTTAACACAACCAGACACGTGCTTACAGTGTGTACAGGTTACCGACTTCAGTCCCCCCACACAACTTCTCTCTCTTCACTCAATGTGTTGCTCAAGAGAGATCCATGTAGAAACACAGATAAATCAATGCTTGACTGATGTACCTGGGTGTATCGACCCACACGATTCCTATGTGGCAAAAGTACACGCATTCCTTGTCCTTCAGGTTTTCACAGGAGCAGCGCCTTTCACGCCGGTGAGTTTGTGAAGCAGCACTCGCAGATGGACTTCTGTTTACATGGGACCCTGAGACTGACAAACAAAAGAAGTTTGAGAAACAGGTAACCAAGGATGCTTGCAAAACCAGTAGACGTTTACTATAATATTAACAACACAATACTGAAATGATTTGAAGACTGGAGCTTCCACAATGTAGTTTTTCACAGTGATGCCAAAGATCAGAGGTGCCCAAACTTTTTTATGAAGGGCTAAAAACTAAACTTTATTGTGGTTAGTTGGCCCAAGGTAATTATAGTTGCAATGAGTAATTTTCTAATTTATTTAATAATATTTTAAAATAACTAAAACCTTCCTTTATATTAACTAATGCAGCATATATATATTTTTTTTACATATTTTAATGAACTTATTACAGTAAAAACTATTTATAACAGAATGGAGTTACACTAGTTTATGCCTTGATTTGCTCACTGATGGCTTCTTCGTAGTCTTCCATCAATTGAGTGACAGTATTTACATTTTAAAAACTCCAATTTATTTACAATATTTATTTTCAGTTTGCTTTTTAATAGCTCAGCAATAAAACAAACAAAAAGGGTTACATCAAATTAAAATGATGACCATTGTTAAAGGCATTCTCCCCAACCCTCTCCATCATTCTCCCTCTCTTCTCAGATGGGATGGTGGGCCAAATTAAAGGTTATAACGTGCCTTCTTTGGGCATCTCTGCTGTAGATGCTCTTTTTGGTTTACAATGGACCATTTAGTGAATATTTTGTAAAATAACCACTTGTTCCTTAGTGTGAAGGACATTTTAAAGATCTAAAGAAGCATTTTGATTTCACTATAAAGTTAAAGTGGAATCTTTTTTTCTATGGTTTCTAAATGTTCTTCATGGAACTATTCATACGAGTAAAGAACTTATACCCTCACATTTTAAAAACAAACTACATTTTTTTTTAAATTAGAATATTGTCACCTTAGAATTTTAAGGTTCTATTTGACATTTTTGTCAAAATTGAGTTATTGACATATTCTTATTAAATGACAACTTATTTACATTATGGAATGTTTTTTCATAAGTTGTTTACATTTTAAGGCTTTCTCACAGCAAGAAGGTCGCTGGTTCAAGACCCGGCTGGGTCAGTTGGGATTTCTGTGTGAAGTTTGCATGCTCTCCCCATGTTGGCGTGGGTTTCCTCCAGGTGCTCTGGTTTCCCCCACAGTCCAAAGACATGCGCTATAGGTAAACAAGTACTGGGTTACGGCTGGAAGAGCATCCGCTGTGTAAAATATTCATTCTGCTATGAAAACTCTGATAAATTAGAGACTAAGCTGAAGAAAAGATGAATGGAAAATTGAGTAAACTCCTTCAAATTATTACTATTAATAAGTAAATGAACTAAGTGCATAATTATAAAAATTAAGTTAAATTAACCTAACAGTTATAAATTACAACAGAAATACTTAATTTTAAAGTAAAATCAACTTGTCATTTCTAAGGCAATGGGCTTAAATCACTTTTACAGTGCACACTGAAAAAATATTCAAAGATGATTCTTTGGATTTACTAAAATATTTTAGGTTAAGTGGTTGTAAACCAGGCATGTCCAAACTCCTTCCTATAGGGGGCGGTGTCTTGCAAAGTTTAGTTTTAACCCCAATCAGACACACAAGTGCTAGCTAATCAAGCTCTTACTTGGCTTTCTAGAAACATCTTTGCAGGTGTGTTGAAGCAAGCTGGTGCTAAAATCTGCAGGACACTGGTGCTCCAGGCCTGAGTTTGGACACCCCTGTTGTAAACCGTTTATTTGGGCTAAATGTAAAGAAACAAATCAAGTTGAACATCACTAAATTTAATTTGTTTAAATTCAACCCATATTAATTGTTTACAACAGTTTTGCAGACATCTTTTTTTTCAGTTTATGCGCCAGACACATTTTTCCATACAGCATCATGCAATTCATAGTGTACTTCATGCAGGTGAGTGGGCTTGACAAACCACCTGTATCAGACACTCTTTTCATCTCCATATGCACCAGACACTTTCTTAAACGCTCTCTGTATACTTCTTAGACTACATTGTGCAATTCTGAGTGTGCTGAGTGTCAGCGGGGTTGACAAACCCCCTGTAGAACACTCTAAAATCCTTAGAGAGAAATTATCGTAAATAAAATGTTTGGTCTTTTTTAAACTTGCATTTATTGTAGCATTTACTGAATATAGTGCTGCTCTTTAGGGATTTGAAATGATTCTTTTACCATCACTTGTACTGATCTGCTAAATGAATACATGAGATTATATTTAGAAGTATTACTGTCTTTATTGTGCTGTGAATCGAGGATTGAAAATGCCAGTAAAATGCAGACAACCACTATTCATTCTTTCATTTACCTTTAGCTTTGTCCTTGATTTATCAGGGGTCACCACAATGGAATGAACTGCCAACTATTCCGGCATATGTTTTACACAGCAGATGCTCTTCCAGCTGCAGCCCAGTACTGGGAAACACCCATACACTTTCACATTTGCACACGCACTAATACACTACAGCTAATTAAGTTAATCTAATTCACTTATAGCACATGCCTTTGAACTGTGGGGGAAACCGGAGCACCTTGAGGAAACCCACACAAACATGGAGAGAACTTGTAAACTCCACACAGAAATGCCAACTGGCCCAGCTGGGATTCGAACCAGAGACCTTCTCAATAGCAATTAGTATCAATACACATTACTCATAATACAGAATGAAATCTAGTTCACACATTCACAAACACTATTTTCTCATCAGACCAGGTCTAAATTGATACAAAACTTGTCAAAATATTTGTCAGCTTGACATCTTCACTTGCATTTCAGAAACATTTTCTAATACAGGCCAAGATTTCATGTAATCAATATACTGTACAGTAGTTTGAAAGCCAATCTTAAAACATAATATTTCTGGTTGGGCTTCGTTAAGGTTGTGGTGAATGAAAAGCCATGTGGAGCATGTTTAAAGAAGACAGCAAATACGAATCTGTGGCCAACCACATTTTATGCCTGTAGGATTCCAGCAGCGCATGTAGATGCTACAAAGCAAACCACCACTACAGCTTCCGATGGCTGGGGGTTTAAAAGCTGAATCAAAAACAGATCACTTACTCATTGGTAGCATGGTTAATCTTCAACAGACAAATAAATCTCAGAGGAGATGACAAAACAACAAGCAGGGACCTATGAAATCAGTTTTTATTTATTTATTTTATATATTTTTATTTTAAGCAAGGAAATTTTCACAGTATATCTGATAATATTTTTTCTTCTGGAGAAAGTCTTATTTGTTTTATTTCGGCTAGAAAGAAAGCAGTTTTTAATTTTTTAAAACCCATTTTTTGGACAAAATTATTAGCCCCTTTAAGCTATTTTTTTTCGATAATCTTTAAAACAAACCATCGTTATACAATAACTTGCCTTATTATCCTAACCTGCCTTGTTCACCTTATTAACCTAGTGAAGCCTTTAAATGTCACTTTAAGCTGTATAGAAGTGTCTTGAAAAATATCAAGTAAAATATTATTTACTGTCATCATGACAAAGAGAAAATAAATCAGTTATTAGAAATACGTTTTTAAAACTAATATGCTTAGAAATGTGCTGAAACAATCTTCCCTCTGTTAAACAGAAATTGGGAAAAAAATAAACAGGGGCGCTAATAATTCTGACTTCAACTGTTATATATATTTATATTCAGTTCAGTTTTTAACAGACTTAATTTGAGGTTAAAACATTTATATATTTACTTTGTTTTAATCAAAACGCACATCCATGAAAGTAAAAAAACAATTGCACTTTTTTTCAAATTCCATTATATTCTTGTTAAAACTGAAACATGAAAGAGCATTTATGTAATTATTTCTCAGATTATGTTTCATTTCTAATAATTAAATTATTATTATTATTATTATTACTGCTACTACTATTTTAAGTACACTCAAAAAAGATGTTTGCTGTTTGTTCAACCTATAATTTAAAATGAGCTAAAACAAAAAAAAATCTTGAGTGTATTTGGTACAGTTCAGATTAGGGGTGTCCAAACTCAGTCCTGGAGGACCAGAGTCCTGCAAAGTTTAGCTCCAACTTCCTTTAACACACTTGCCTGGAAGTTTTAGTATACCTTGAAAGAGCTTGATTAGCTGGTTTAGGTGTGTTTAATTGGGCTTGAAACTAAAATATGCAGAACACCGGCCCTCCACGACCGAGTTTGGGTACTCCTGGATTAGATGTTTATGTTCAATCCACTTTAATTTGTAAAAACTAATAAGTTAACTTAAATGCAAGGATCCACACAATTCGTGTTGGGACAACATGAAGCAGTTTTTACAGTGTACTACTACTAACTTATTAGTAAATTCTTCTGGACAATAGTAAATATTTTCTACCAACTTAATTTCTTCAAGTGAAACCAAACTTATATTTTAAAGCATTGTAGAATTTCTGTGTTTTTATATTTTACACAGTCTATGGTTTTTCCCAAGCGGCAACCTCCTGCTCTCCCTCGTGAAGCAAATATGGAACTGAAACTGCAATTCATTAAAATTCTGCTAGTCCAGGCTCCATAATAGAGCAAATTTCTATTGACCCCACTTTTAAAATAGCCGAAATAACAGAAAAAAGGGTGTTTAAAACCCGGTACAAGGAACAACTGGGAGGGGATGAATTTTTTTTTTATAACTTATCTGTTTCCTTTATTTGAGTTTAAATAAGTCTGCATCATTAAGGGCAGGGCCACTTGAGTCAACGTCACTTCACCTCAGTGGATTCCGTCTGATTAACCGATGAACGCATATACATTTTTTTTTTTATGTGGCTTTACACATTCAGTTGCTTTTTGGAATTATTTCCTACAATTATCAGATGATATGGCATGCTGTGTGCATTTAATTGTGCTCACAAACACAAACCATTCACATGGTCTCCATTTCCCAGGTAAATTATAAACACCATCTCTTTAAATAAATTTGTTTTATGTAAAATCATTCATCATTTATAATGTTCTTTAGAGCTGTAATGCACTCTGACAGCGATTACTGTATAGAATAATCATCTGAAACACTGTCATACAGTCTTATGCCTGGATTTCATCAATAGCCCAGCATTTACTAAAACTATATTTGAAGTGTTTGAAAGTAATTCGCTTTTTCCTCCTGTAGACGTGATAAGAACAATGCTTAGTAGCTCATTGTGTTACAACAGTATATCAATACAGTGTTTATTCTTTAAAAAATAGTGTACAACCAAGCCCATGTGGTCAGAACACAAACGAGTCTGTACGTATCTGCAGCTCTGCTCATGCTCCGCCTCTTTGCCCTTGTTTGGTGTTCCCAGCGCAGTGCGAGGATGCGCGAACAAAATGGTGATGGTTGGCCACGCCTACTGATAGCTTCTTTTGGGTTCTTCAGAAACCTATAGGTGACATCACATATACTACATCCATATGTTTTACAGCCTATGGTTTATCCTCACCTGAAATGGCAAAATATTCATGAAATCAATTTTCATGTGCTTTAATTTTCAAAGATGCCTGTCCACATCATATGATTAGGTGTACAGCACTTCTATTAATTAATTAAATACAGAATTTCTAAATTTTGTAATCTAGATAAAGCAAATACAGATTAGATGAATACGACATTGGGCCTTATGTATGACAGTAAGTTATTACTAGCCCTTCTGAATGATTAGCCCCCTGTATATATTTTTTCCCCAATTTCTGTTTAACAGAAAGTTTTTTTTTGTAAACACATTTCTAGACATAATAGTTTTAATAACTAATTTCTAATAACTTAACTAATTTCTACTTTCTTTTGCCATGATGAACGTACATATTATTAACTAGATATTTTTCAAGATAAATTCAGCTTAAAGTGACATTTAAAGGCTCAACTAGGTTAACTAGGCAAGTTATGGTAATTAGGCAAATCATTGTATAATGATGGTTTATTCTGTAGACAATTAAAAAATACATTGCTTAAAAGGACAAACAATTTGGACCATAAGTTTTTTTTTTTTTTTTTAAAGCTGCTTTCATTCTAGCCGAAATAAAACAAATAAGACTTTCACTAGAAGAAGAAATATTATAGGAAAATACTGTGAAAAATTCCTAGCTCTGTAAATTATTATTTGGAAAATATTTTAAAACAATTAATGGGAGGGCATTTAACAATTTTACCTTTATATTACGTATCAAAAAAGTTATTTAAAGTAGATGAGATGAAGACGGATGAAGGTCTTGCCCTCTTGAAGGCTTAGCTTCAAGAAGGTGTTTTGTTCAGGATACATTGAGTTGTTTTAACCGAAGGACCCCAGTTACCAGAATGACTCCTGAGGTGCTCAATCAAGTGAGGCCTGAGGCTTCCGGGGCCTTATAGAAACAGATGAAACCGAATGCCCAAGCTGGCGGAAAGTGATCTGGGAGTGATCGCAGTGATCCATCACAATACTATGAGGGACTAACTATGGAATACGCAACACATGAACTGACTTTTGTTTAGATGCTGGAAACCAGTTGTCCTCAAGGCGTTAGTTGGGGTAAAGCGCTGGGATTCATTGTCATATATCAGGTAAGCATAATTAATCATTATGCGTGGCTCAGATTTAGAGCTTGGAATTTGTTTCAAATCCATTGGAATGTCTGCTTAAAATTCCTGACATCATTCACATTCAACTGACTTTATACCATCCAATCATAAATCATGAGAAAGACGATCAGGAAACGTTTTCTTCATCCGTGCAATATTTTAAGGCTAGACTGCTCTAACTCCATACCAGAGCGAGACTAGATGTGAAATTCAAGACAAGCTCCGTAACACAGCTCCTTAGCACAGTTTGTTTTTCCAAGAAGAATTTAATTTAGTGACCCGTGCCCTGAAGAGAGAGATTGGACTGCCAAGGTGGATCAGCATAGAATTGTAAAGGGATTACCAAAAATTCATAACCACCAACGTTGAACCAGAACATCTCACCTCTTGGTGTTACTGTAGCAATACAATATAGACATAGAAACTCGAAACTACAGTAGAAATTGGCAAGCAAACACATAACTGTGCAATAAAGTATATTATTCCTAGCCTAAAACCCAAGACTTTTGCACTCTGAAATGAAAGATCTCAAAAGCAAGCTCTATGGAAAAGAGTCCCGAGCCAACTTGCAACCATGGTAATCGATTGAAGAAAATATCCCTTTTAAAACAGAAAATGATCACAATCTAAATTTCGAATGTATCACTGCTTAAATGAATGTTTGCAGAGAAAACTTGCACTGGCTGTGAACTCAACACACTATTAAATAAGCCTATACCCACAGGGCAAAAGCCTCGTTTCCTCCACCCAGACCATTTAGAGGCAACTTTTGCTCCAGTGTGAGGGAAGTTATATGTTCTGTGGTCCATAGAAGATGGCCTACACATGGGGAGTTTACCCCTTTACATGCTCAAACCAGATGGATTAAGCTGCATTTTACGCCAAATTGAACCCTAATTCAACAAACTCCATATTGTAACTTGCTCAAACAACATTTCAAATCTACACAGCTGATTATAATATTATCAAATATAAACTGAAACAGATATTTTCCCACAAAAAAGAAGATTATTCCTCTTTTAAACTTAAAAGAGGGCCAATTTCATTCATTTACCTTCAGCTTAGTCGATTTATTCATCAGGGTTTGCCACAGTGGAATGAACCATCAACTTATACAGCATATGTTTTACACAGCGGATGTCCTTCCAGCTGTAACCTTTAACTGGGAAACACCCATACACTCTCATTCAAACACATACACTACAGCCAATTTAGTTTAATCAATTCACCCATAGCGCATGTCTTTGGACTGTGGGGGAAACCGGAGCACCTTGAGGAAACCTACAAGAATATAGAGAGAACATGCAAACTCAACACAGAAACACCAACTGACACAGCTAGGACTCAAACCAGTGACCTCCTTGCTGTGAGGTACAAAGGATAAAAAGTAAGGCTTTTTTGGGGTGAAATGCCAATTTAACACAATCTGACAGCAATTTGTTGTAGTAGTTCAGTAGTAGTACTGTACCCAAAGAATTTTGGCCCAGATTTGGCATAAATCTGGCACAATTGACATTCATCCGACATTAGCATAAAGCATGTGGGCCAAACATGGCTCTGGTTTGGCCGAGGTGGCACCTTCTTTAAGGCGGCACACAATACTTGGCCCAGATGTTAATAACTATGTGGGCCACATAAGCTTGGCCTGTCTTGACCCACATTTAAAACACATATTTTTATTTTCATATAAAGAAAAAAATTCCATCAATCAGGTCACTTTGAGGAAAAAGCATGCCCAAGCACGCCTAAAGCACAATGATTAATGGGTTTATTAATTACATTGCAGTCATCACACACCAACCTATCTGGCCCAGTTCAGGCTCAGTTATGGGTTATTAACTTGGCTGAGACTGGGCCCAGATATGGTCCATGATTGGCCCTTCTCTGGAAGCCAGACTATGTGGGTAGTGGTAGTTAGTAAAGTTAGTTCCAATATAGAGGACATGGATCTAAAAATTAGGAGAAACAAATACTATGGAAGTTAGTGTTTACAGATTTCCAATATTCTTCTAAATATCTTCTTTGGTGTTTAACAAAAGAATGAAAAGCAAACTGAAACAAGTGGAGGATGAGTAAACGATGATAGAATTTTTACATTTGGGTGAACTATTCACTTAAATTCTTCAAATTACAAGACATCAACTAAACATTTTAAATACATAAACATTTTAACCTCTTAAAGTCAAGTGCTATTTTGGGCTTTCCGCCTGGATTTTGCCAACCCAAATTCAAAAGCGTCCCAAATCCACATGCAGAGGTGTAAATGCAAAGGGTTGGTATCGTTTTAAAGAAAACCCTTTGAATTTTCATAAAACACTGTGTGAACGTGATTAAAATAATTGTATATGTTGTCTGTGTTATATTCAACCTCTCCAAAAAAGAGGTTTGAACATTTTGAAAGTGTACCTTTTAGGTTCTTCTGTGTGGTCTAGGTTGCTGTAATTAATTTTGTTGGTTCCTTCATATGTCAGTAATCATAGGAAAAAAGACAAATTTCTCTATATCATAATCTATAAATTATTGTGTTCCAACTGATGAGAGAATTGAACCACTTATGAGGGTATTTGGGCCAGTATGGACCTTTAAAATATAAAGAATGTGGAAATAAATGATGACACAGACCCGGTACCGGGTATGCAGCACTTATAGACTAAAATGCATTCAAAGTAGAAAAAGAAACATAGCAGACTAAATCTTAAAATGACACGTATGAACATAATCTTGAGTAAACTAGATGAACAATTGAAATTTTCATCTTAAAAGCAAGACTTAAGAATATAAACATAAGGAAAATGAGAGAGGTTTACCTTGTTCCAGTATGAACACAAGAGCACTTATTAGCAATAAGAAGGAAAAATCCATGATGCACAGTTCTTTAATTGGCAAGCCAGTCTCTCTTGGTTGTCTATCCACAAGCAGAGAGGAAAACTGTGTGGAGTGAGAGCAGGTTGTGGAGTCTCTCAAAAAACTCTTGCCACTCTCTACACACCTCCAGCCCTCCACCACACCCCTATCACTGTCCCTGGATCAGTCTGCTAAGCGGCTCTTCGCAATGTTATGGACAGGTGCCGTTTGACATCATCCAATGTGAATGTCGCTAGGGAAAAAGAGGGAGAGAGAATTCTTTGGAAAGATGCTTTGAATCTAAATGATGAATTTATTTTCATCTAAATTATGCACTGTGTTTGGATTGGAGGTTTGAAGAACAAAGTCTAAACTGCAGCCTGGAGAGGAAACCCACCTTTTTCAAAGTGCAAAGCCTAGACAGACCAAGTCTTTTTCCCAAACCAAGGGAAGCCCATTGTGGTAAACCTCCATCTTAATTAAAACAATAAAAGTCAATTGAAACATCTCAATATAAGCATCTGCGTGCCAGACTCCAGTTCAAAAACAGTTCTTGCTGCCATTTTTGGAAGCAATTGCTCTAGTGATCGTTTCAAACTTTGTGAAAATTCATACGTGATATGAACGGTGGCGTGAAAGTTGTCGAGAACGGTCCTCAATGGTGCCTGTCATTTAATCACAGTGGGGGCAAACTGATGTATTCTGTGCAACACCGCAGGGGTTATTTTTTCCCACCCGTAGTTCTATTTAGCTCACTTTTTGACTTCTCATTAGTCCAGATTAGGCTTAGTTTTGCATTCAGTAGAGATAATTAAAGGCTGGGCGCAACACAAAACAACATATTTGGTCACAGAGCCCCTGGCTACGGCAATTAGATCTGTGAGGTGAGGATCTGTGGAGGAGGAAGGAGAACTTCACAGCTCCAAATGGTTTCTTCCTGCAGCTGTGGGAGAGACTTAATGAACAGTTTGACAGGCTGGAGAAAAAAAAAATGCTCAGGCTCCTGAAATTTGTGAACTAGGGACAGTGTGTACCTAAATGCAAGTTAAAATGTGAATTAATCTGTTGTTATTGTCTCGTAGCATAGTTTTTTTTTTTCTTTGTGTGGGGGGGGGGGGATCTTTGATGAGAAACTTCAAAACTTATTTTAATGGCCCCCTTCAAACATCCTTATCTATCATTAGAGTATTAGTGACCCCAGGTTCATTGTAAGTATACCATAGCCTAGATTATTGTAAAATGTTTTGCTGTTAGTTTCAGATGACAAATTTACTAGAGGGCGCTGTGTTCATATTTGTGAATCTCAAATGCATTAGTGTGTATTTTGTTTTATGTTTCACATACACATCCTTCTTGTACACGTCCACAAGAAGAACTAGACCAGTGTGCCACTAACCTAAACCCTTCCCTATAGTTTTAAATGCAAAAGTTAAACAAATAATGGCTTTATGAATAGTTTGACAGACTATTTAAAAAATAAAACGCTCAACTAGGGACACTGTGTCACTAAATGCAAGTTAAAATGTGAATTGAACTCTTGTTGTTGTCTTGTAGCCTAGATTTTTTTTTTATTAATTTTTTTTTTTTTTGGAAAATCTTTGATGAGAAATTTCAAAACTTATTTTGATGGCCCCCTTTGAGCATGGTGTTAACTACCTGTCATTAAAATATTAGTCAGCCCAGGCCCATTGTAAGTATGCCTCAACCTACATTATCGTAAAATGTAAAATCATTATGTTGCTCGTTTCAGATGACAAATCTACTAGAGAGCACTTTTGTGAATCAGAAATACTTATGGTTCTTTTTGTTGTATTTTTCAGCTACACATTCACATTCTTCTTTTACATGTCCACGAGAAGAACTAGACCAGTGAATCACTGACCTTAACCAAATCAATAGTTTCCAAAGCAAACGTTAGACAAAAGTGCTCTGCGACCACATAGTTATACATTGCGTTTATCTCTTTGGAAACCCGAGTACTCTACTGAGGAAACTGACCATGCCAGAAAATTGTCCATAAGAAATGGAACAGGTAAGGCAAATGTTTTTAGTAAAAATCTTAAACATTGTTGTATTTATTTGAAGAACATACATAAAAACTGCAAGAAAATTGTTTTAAAAAAGTTCGGTATGAGCATGCACTTTGAAATGAATGGCATTAAGCTTAGGGGCCATCCAAATGTATTATTTCCAATGTGGCCCTTTTTTACTTATTTTGTTTTTTACTATTAAAACTATTTGCTTTAGTAATGTCAGTCAATTAAAATAAAGTGGTTAAATGATAATAAAATTTAAAAAACAATTATGGACTTTATTTCTAAATGGATTGTTAAAAAATATGACGTAATATTAGATACTGAATTATATAAAACATTATATCTTGATAATTTGTTTTGCCGTATTGTCTAGCCCAGACTAAAGCATGTATTTCCAATGAGGCAGCGTTGGTATTAGCAGTCTGTTTGCTTTAAAGGTGCTAATAGGTTGCTGGATAGATGGGCTTCAAAAAAAATTCTAATGATCATTAACTTTGCAAGGACATGTCGACGATGTTCCACTAGCCCTAACCCTAACCTATCAATCTATTAATACTCTACTAAAACTCTAATGAGTGTTAGTTGATATGTAGTTGCAAAGTTACTTAGTCAACACACCGTCTAAAGAAAACCATCAAAATAAAGTTTAACCAGGTTTTGAATTCTTTGTGCCAGTCTTTGCTGTATGGAATTTTACATCATATATATAGCACAATATATTTTATTTGATAAAAGATATATATATATATATATATATATATATATATATATATATATATATATATATATATATATATATATATATATATATATAAATAAAACATAATAGTTTTAAAAACCTATCTCTAATAACTGATTTCTTTTATCTTTGCCATGATGACAGTAAAAACTATTTTACTAGATGTTTTTTAAGACAATTCTATACAGCTTAAAGTGACATTTAAAAGCTTAACAAAGTTAATTAGGGTAACTATACTCTATATGAATTATAGAGTAATTCGGCAAGTTATTGTATGATGATTATTTGTTCTGCAGACTATCAGTAAAAAATATACCTTAAAAGGGCTGAAAATTGTGTCCTGAAAATAGCTTTTAAAAAATTAAAAACTGCTTTTATTCTAGCCAAAGTAAAACAAATGATTTTTTTCCAAAAGAAAAAAATATTATCAGACATACTGTGAAAATTTCCTTGGTCTGTTAAACATCATTTGGGAAATATTTAAAAAAAAGAAAACCAAAATCAAATAATAATTCTGACTTCAACTGCAAATATTTTAAAAAGTTTATGCGTTATGTAAGTGTTTATTAATGTAATTAAGCAGTGAGAGTTCAGTTAATTGCTCAAAGTGTCTTATGAAAATAAGGAAGGCTTGCAGAATGGCTCACTGAATCAATCAGTAAATCAATAACTTTTCCGTTTTCTCAGAACACTGACCTCTGAAGAAGCTTTATAAAATCGACAGAATTATCATTGGAAACTAGCCTATAGTGAAACAGTTGGTTCATGATTATCCATCCTTGAACCAACCAATACAACATAAAAAAATAATAATGAATGAGAGAATATGAGGATAAAGCTATTTTTCTGTCTTGGAAAGCAGCACAGTCTCCTGCTCTCTTCGTCTGCCTCATATGCACAGGTGCAGTGTTTTAGACAATGTCCCCTGGACTCTCACTGACCCTCAGCTGCACTTTCCGCTTTAAACCTTTAATAATACATGCAAAAAGAATATTAAATCATCTTTGCTAACTGTATTACAGTAGTTTATATCCAGATGCCTCAGGTATAAAGTCTCTCCGTGTTGAAAGTAATTTTTGTAGGCCTATTAGTTAAGACTTATAGTATATAAAAAAGGCAACATCAACGCTTTAAAAATAGCTAATTTATTCACTCAAACAGCTATCACAGCGTGTAGCACACCAGATCTTCATTAGTCTATTTTTTTGTACTTATTTTTGTTTGGCTGAAATAACAGATTAATACTTGTATGAGTTTTGAGTATGACCATAGAATACTTCCAAATACTCCAGTACTACTTGAATTGAAATAGGCCAATTATTAGTTCTTAAAATACTTTAAGTGTGACAGTTGTAAACTTAATTTCTACATCTAATATTCTACATTCCACTCTATCTATCTATCTATCTATCTATCTATCTATCTATCTATCTATCTATCTATCTATCTATCTATCTATCTATCTATCTATCTATCTATCTATCTATCTATCTATCTATCTGTCTGTCTGTCTGTCTGTCTGTCTGTCTGTCTGTCTGTCTGTCTGTCTGTCTGTCTGTCTGTCTGTCTGTCTGTCTGTCTGTCTGTCTGTCTGTCTGTCTGTCTGTCTGTCTATCTATCTATCTATCTATCTATCCATCCATCCACAATGAAGTTGACAACTTACCTCAATAGGCAACTGAGCAGGTTCACAAAAACAGTGCACTTTAACTCCACCTAGTGTTCATTGTTCAGATGTGGGAATCACAGGAAGTACTGTTTACTAGGCCCGTTTGTACAGGCACAGTAGGTGTTTGTTCAAGGTTACAACGCGAAATAAAAAAGTAGGGTACAGTCATGTTTTACTTATTGGGCCTGGATAACGAGCAAGATAAGGTTGCATCCCGTTTGGAGGGACGGGGAATATATATAGGTGAGATATTCCCGCTCAAACCCTCAGCACTTCAGGGTCAAATGAAAATTGCTTAAGCAATTTGGCAGCTGCACATTTGCCTAAATCTGAAAATAATACCCACATGGTTTATGCACATTGTGAATTAAATTGATGTTGGAAAGTCGGACTATTTACTGGGGTATCTGTACCTTATTGTTACTGTTTACCGTTTGTTTTGCTGCAGTCTGTTTGCAATCAGAATGAGCTGTAGAGTTATTTAGGTCTGTATCCGATTCCCGGATAGTGTTTTTTTAGTGTTTTCATGTTTTAAGACAACTTAGAGATTTTTTTTTATTATTAGTATGTGGCTTTTCATCGCCAAAAACACGTTGTGAATTGTGTATTATAGCTGCTTGCTATTAATATTATTTTGGCTTTAACAACAAAACAATTATATTTTACCTAGCAATTGGTGTATGTTAGATTTGAGTGTTTTTCAGAATAGGTCTTCTACTTCAGCAGCACTTACACATTTTTTTTCATATGAGTTTTTTTCTTTCTTTTTATAAAGGGTTATCGTTATAAATTTACAAATTTATATTGTGCATACAATTCTACAAATTCTGAAAAGAAGCATTTTTGAAAAAATGTTAAAAACAGAAAAAAGTTTGTACCTGAGATTATTCAGTGTTCAAATTTTTGTGCTAGACATACAGTTGAAGTCAGAATTATTAGCCCCTCTGAATTATTAGACCTCTTATTTATTTTTCCCCAATTTTTGTTTAATGGAGAGCAGATTTTTTTCAACATATTTCTAAACATAATGTTTTTAATAACTCATTTCTAATAACAGATTTATTTTATCTTTACCATGATGACTGTAAATAATATTTTACTAGATATTTTTCAAGACACTACTATTTAGCTTAAAGTGACATTTAAAGGCTTAACTGGGTTAATTAGGTTAACTAGACAGGTAAGGGTAATTAGGCAAGTTATTGTATAACAGTGTTTTTTTCTGTAGACTATCGAGAAAAAATATAGCTTAAAGGGAGTAATAATTTTGTCTCTAAAATGATGTTTTTTAAAAAAACTGCTTTTATTCTAGCCTAAATGAAACAAGTAAGATTTTCTCCAGAAGAAAAAATATAATCAGAAATACCGTGAAAATTTCCTTGCTCTGTTAAACATCATTTGGAAAATATTTTAAAAAGAAGAAAAAAATTCAAAGGGGGCTAATAATTCTGACTTCAACTGTACATGTAAACTAACACCTACTTCATGACCTCATTTGCATATTCAAAGATAACATTTGAGAAAGCGGGTAATACAAAAAAGATCATTTCTAATTTTATCAATCTACTGATGAAGTATGATGACAACTATTGACATTATTTGGTTTTCTTATGGCTATAGATCAGGCATGTCCAAAGTCAGTCCTGGAGGGCCTTTGTCCTGCATATTTTAGTTCCGATCTTAATTAAACACACCCGAACAAGCTAATCAAGCTCTTTCTAGGTATACTAGAAACTTCCAGGGATGTGTGTTGAACGAAGTTGGAGCTAAACCATGCAGGACACCGGCCCTTGGGGACCGAGTTTGGACACTCCTGCTATAGATGATCTGAATATGATTTCTTCACATATCCTATTGCATTTGAACATTAAGCAGTACACAAGTATTACATTACAAACATTTCCCAGCTCTGCTGTCATTTCCTGGGTTTAGATCCTGGATTTGAGGATTTCAGCTTTATGCAGCTTTTATCCAGTTTTATTTCAATGTAATCCAATGGGCCATACCAAAAATGCCTGAATCATTAGACCCTTTTAAAAGTAATCAAAAATTAACATTCTGTACTATTTTTTCACAACAAACCACCAAACATTATTTTAAAAAGTGATAATGCTTTTTTCTTTCTAGACTGAAGCATCATAATGTTCAGGCACAGGGTAATGTTGCAGAAAGTCCTGCTAAAACAAGTTCACCACATCCTGTCTCATATTCAAGCTCTGAGCTTGGACACGCATTCACAGAAAAAAATTAAATGCGATTTATTACTGATTATCCCAGCAGGGAGCCAGGGAGCCGGATACAAAGAATGAAATAAGCTTTGTTTCATTCTGAGACACTTTCTTGTGGAAAACCATACATTTTCTCTTTGATTTCAGAATAAATTCTGTTCCACAATAACCTGTTGGGTGACTGTTCCAGACATCTAATGGAGCAGCGGTGGCATTTACAAGAATTCTCTACTGAGGGTGTCAGCCATCATTTCAATCTCAGCTGAGAGCTTGTCAGGTACTGATTTTGTCTCCTGCTTAACACACACACACACACAAAAAAAAACTACTGCAACTTTTTTGTTAAGTTTCTGTGATCCTGGAGTCCAATATTTTGCTGTGCTTTTTACCAAACCTCTTACTTAAATTAAATCTTCAACCTAAATATGAATAATCTAGGGCTTCACATTAACCCCTGCCAAATGCGGGTTGGTTTCACCTGTGGCGGGTTAGACAGACACCCTCTCTAGCTACTATGGCTAGTTAAAGAAAGTTTTCTGTGCTGGCTCGTCCTACTTTTCAAGAGCTTAAGATGTAAGCAGCAGCGGTTGACGCTTTTACTTTGACCATTCTTTGAACAGATTATTAAAGAGCCTAACATAAACTGTGTGTCGTGATCATCCTTTCTCTATCACACAGAATATTTTCACCAGCTTTATTTTGCTTGCAGTTATTTTTGTTAGTATGGTTTAATTATCCTCTTTTACAATAGCATTGCTCTATCTAAATTAAATCACACATTTTTACAAAGTTGTTATTCAGAATTCAGATTTTCATTTCTGGACATATTGTTCTTTAATATCTTTATCCTTGTTTTGTGCGACATGAATTTTTTTGAAGTTGTAAATGGATTATTGGAGTGCATTTTTATACAGTTATTCTACTTTAAAAAGTCTTGTTGAATTAAGTGTGCTATTTTCCATTTTGTTGTACTTTATTAAATGTACCAGTAATTCCTGAGTGACTGATTTTGTGACTGATGCTGTTGCAGAGCTTATTTGTCACACATGCATGTGTGCATTAGTATTGCAATAGTCCTGATAAATCCAAGGGCCGCATTTGGAGGATATGAATTAGATAAGACAACAAAACTAATTAAAGGTTAAGCAAAAGATAATGATGTTATTTTTGTGCCCAATCACAGTAATTACGCAACCAGAAAAATACACGTTGGTCTACTGCAACTTGACATACCGAACAGATTTTGAGGCTATATTTGGATAATTGAGCTCAGGCAAAGGTCTTTAAGAGTTATTGGGCAATTTCTCTGAGGCAAACATTGAGAGTAGTGGTTACAAATGCAAATTTTGTCTGATGACTTACCTCTGTGGATTTCTTTCACTGTGTTTGTGCACATTTTGCTACATATGTTTTCGTTCGTTTTTTTACTTATTTTTCATTACTGAATTACTGATTTCATACCTTAAACACTGTGCTAAAATTGTAGGCACATTAGATGCACATTTCATTTTAAAAGTGGTTTAAATGTTTCCTACTTTTATATATATATATATATATATATATATATATATATATATATATATATATATATATATATAAACATATATACATATATATATATATATATATATATATATGTATGTATGTTTATATATACACACACACACACACACACACACACACACATTTTAAGAAATGGCATTAAATGTAAATGTGTCAGATGTTGTGTGTGAAACAATGTTTAACCTTAATCATGGGATGACAGGATGGGCAAATGACACTCAAAATGCAAGCGTCCTTACCTAAAGGTGAGTGTTTTTACTGTAAATAAAAAAGAATTAATAAAACAAAAAGAATTAATAATTGATAATTAAATAGGTCCACTATAAAATATCTGTTAATTAACAGGTTATGTATTTTGTGATTCACGTGTTGGTTTTTATGTTTATTTACTTTTGTGAATTGTATTATGGGACCTTCATCTCTGCTGTATTAAATTTTGATGCTGAAAATGTAACTCTGCAGTTTAATAAAGTGAAGTTTATTGACATTTTAATAGTGTAAAGCAGAGATGTCCAAACTAGGGCCAGGGGGCCAAAGTTGGTCCATGGTAACCTTTAATTTGGCCCATCATCTCATCTAAGAAGAGAGGGAGAACAATGGGGATGGTTTCAAGTTTGTTAATTCAAATTTAATGTAACCCTTTTTTGTTTGTTTGTTTTATTGTTAAAAGCTAACTGAAATTAAATGTTTCAATTATTTGGTGTAAATAAATCAGATTTTGTTTTATAGTGCAACCTGTCACATGACAATCCAGAGACTTTGGTGAGTAAATCAAATGTTTATGTTTTTATTGCAATTAGTTATCATGTAAAAAGTTTTACTGCATTAGTTAATACCGTTAAAAGTAAGGTTTTCTATTTATTTTGAAATGAAATAAATTTAAAAATTTGGCATGGCAATTTTAATGTAATATACTGTAGTTTGGTATATCGGCCCATGGCTATCAGTTATATTTGGCTTTTGGCTTTTCATATGATAAAGTTTGGGCACCCCTGGTGTAAAGCAATATGTTGCATAAAGAATAATATGAATTACTTCAAACTATTAAAATTGTCAATGAAAGTAAAATTTTCAAATATAAGGAAAAAAACAAGGTCTCATAATGCAAATCAAAAGCATGAAAATGAATCACAAAATATGGAAAACTGTTAAATTATGGATATATTTTTACAATGTAGTATATACACAATATATAATATGTGTGTGTTCTTGTGTAAGGAAGTCAGCAGTAGTTTGCCTTGTTGACATAATGCACATTGTAAAATATGACAAATGATGACTTACGTGTTTATTGTCCTGGACACAAGAACTGTGATGTCAAAATCTCACACACACAATAATATGTACATTGTTTATCTGTTAAGTAACAGGCTTCTTATATTTTGTTTACTGTTAATTTACAGTTGTGAGCTGCATTATGAAATGGTGATCTCTGCTCTGTCGACTTTTGATGTTGAAAATTCAACTCTGCAATTGAACAAAGTGACATTTCTTGACATTTTAGCTGTTTGGAAGAATATAATGTATAGAAAATACTATATAGAGAAAAATAAGTCTGTAAAATAACAGAAAATGTACTTGCAGTTTATTACAAGTTTTTTTTTTTTTTAGCATAATATACACCCCCAAACCAGACAATAAATCACTTTAAACTATTAAAAATGTTAATAAAAGTCACCTTTTCTAACTTTTTAAGATTAAAAGAAAGATCAAGATCCCATGATGCAATTCAAAAGCATAAATAATGTAGAAAAATAAAAACATGAATCACAAAAATCAGAAAGGTGCTAATTTACGGATATTTTATTCAGTGTAGTGCAAGCCATACATAAAATGCCTTTGCACAATACCGTACACTGTTAGAACAAGTTGTACTAAATATGCAAACAGAATGCTAAACATTCAGTAGCATGCAATTTATCAGTGGTTATCAAGATGACGACAAAGCTTTCTAATAATACTGGACTATCAGAGGGTGGGAAGCCCTGCAGAGCACCACTTGATCAAAATGCGTCAGTGCTACAAGAACAGAACCCGTGTTTGCCATGGCTTACTGGGTATGCCTTGGCTGAAGGCAGCCTGAGAGCCACTTAATAACAGCGAAGAACAGATTTTTCACCATATGCCATGTAGGTCTTGCTGGGCTCACATCTTCCCCTTCTATTCCACTGCTTGTCTGCCTGTCTGATCACTTCCTTTCTGCCACTGTGCATTACATGTCTCCATTCCAATAGGCTGTAGAATCATAACATACAAGATATGATCAAATTTAAACTTCCAGGAGAAGATTAAGCATTGCTAAACATCCTCTCCTGGCTCGTGCCCTGCAAAAACATCGCCTTTGAGGCTGTGAGTGGATTGATTTAATTGAGCGTTAATGGAAAGGTTCTCCTCCGCTTGGCCGGACTCCTGCTCCTTCTCCTTGGCCCTCGCCTGTGGATGGAAAGTAAGCTCTCTGTATGTACCTGCACGTCTTCAGCTTTTCCACAAGCCACCAAAGCAAAACTGATGTTGTTCTTTCCCCAAGTGTTTCCAAATGAATCACTTTTAAAGGTGGCACAGTTTAAGCTCCTCTGACTAGAGATCTAGCTGGATCAGCTCTCCTCTGTTTCATCCTTCTTTTGTGAGTTTTTTTTTTTTTTTTTTTGGTCAGGATCATAACCTGCCACATCATAACTAGGGATGCTCTGATCAGGATTTATGCAGCAGATACCGAGTACTGATTCTTTGTCATGGCAAATACTGAGTACTGATTCTGATGCATCAAGCTTTATAATGCATAAAGCACATTTTACCTCTAAGTATGATACTTGAGTGGAGCTTTCTCCTTATTTAAAAGAATAAAAGAAGGATGCTGCATATAATCTCCTAAACATGTCTGGTATAACCATTTAGTGTGGATTTGTAATGGTCAGAAGCAGCTTTAAAGATAGTAATTGATAAAGTATGTTGCAAATGATGTAAGAAGAATGTCTCAATGAAAAAAAAAAGTTTTGAGCATAGATTTTGTTTGATGCATAAGAAGTTAAAATGCACACCTTAATACATATACTTCTTTACTAAAAAGAAACAGCCCTATAAACTACTGTTTATATCAATAACGAGGCCTATATTAGGAAAAGTTATATTATTAAACAAGTAAAAAAATATATATTTCAGTAAAATTTCCAGCCAGATTTTAGTGAACTTGCAATATTATCAAAAACACAGAACTTTCAGTTCTTGTATGTAAAAAAATACATGCAAGGCCATTAAATTTTTTGCTCATCTCCAACTCTTGATAGCAGCTTTATGTTTGCAGCCCAAGTTACAGCAGCTTGATGAGTGAGCAGGGGTTTTCTTGATGGCACTATTCATTTAACCTAACAAATATAATGCTTAGAACAGGGATCACCAAACTTGTTCATGGAGGTCCAATGTCCTGCAGATTTTACCTCTAACCCTTATTAAACACACCTGAACAAGCTAATCAAGGTCTTACTAGGGCTGTTTCTCAATATGCGTTCTTCAGCTGTCTTGCGTCCTCGTGTTCTCGTGCAGCGTCATCATCAGCTGCCTAAGTTCAGTTCCAGTACTCGAGACCGCAAGTACGGAGGACGCGTGAAACTTCGCAGATGTGATCTTGATATCGAGGACGCACTGATGCAGACTTGAACACCGAACTCGCTCTGGAAGTCCCAGAAGTCAATGCGACTGGAGATGGGAAGTGCAGCA